AAATGAATAAATTCCTAGAAACACAATCTTCCACAAATGAATCAAGAAGAAATAGGAAATCTGAACAGACTAATTACAACTAATTTAATAATAATAAAAAAAAAAAAACTCCAGCGAACAAAAGTCCTGGTCTGGATGGCTTCACATGTGAATTTCACCAAATATTCAAAAAAGAACTAACATCTATCCTTCTCAAACTATTCCAAAAAATGCAAGGGGAGTAAAGACTCCCACTCTCATTTTACAAAAACAGTATTACCCAAATCAAATTCCAACACCAAATGAAGACACTACAAAGACAAAAATTATAGGCTAATTTCCCTGATGAACATGGATGCAAAAATCCTCAACACAATATTACCAAACCAAATCCAGAAATACATTAAAATATTAAACACCATGATCATATGAGATTTATTCCTGGGATGCAAGATTGGTACAATATCTGCAAATCAATTCACCTGACACACCACATAAACAAAATGAAAATTATATGATCTTATCTATAGACATAGAAAAAGAATTTCACAAAATCCAGCACCTATTTAGGATACAAACTCTCAGAAAAGTGGGAATAAAGGGAACATACCTCAACATAATAAAGGCCATATGTGACAAACCCAGTCAACATCATACTCAATGGGCAAAAACTAAAACCGTTTCCCTTAATATCAGGAACAAGAAAGGGATGTTCACTTTCACCACTCTTGTTCAACATAGTAGTGGAAGCCCTAGGCACAGCAATCAGACTAAAAGAAGAAATAAAAGGCATCCAAATTGGAAAGGAAGATGTAAAACTGTCATTTTCAGATGACATAATACTGCATGTTGAAAACCTTAAAAATTTCACCAAGAAAAACAAACAAACAAAAAACACAACAACTATGATTGATATAGACATTCAGTAAGATAGTAGGATACAAAATTAATATTCATAAATCAGTGGTATTTGTATACACCAATAATGAACTATCCGGAAGGGAAACTAAGAAACCAATCACATTTACAAATGCATTAAAATAATTAAATACCTAAGAATATAAACAAGGAGGTAAAAGAACTATACTCAGAAAATTAGAAGATACTAAAGAAGGAAACTGAAGAAGATACAAATAAGTGGAATCACATACCATGTTCATGGATAGAAATAATTAACATCATTAAAATGTCCATACTACCAAAAGCAATCTACACTTGCAACATAATTCCTATCAAAATATCAATTATGTATTTCACAGAACTAGAACAAATCATCCAAAAATTTAGATATATAGATTAATGGAACAGAAGAGATGGCCCAGAAATAAATCTATATGATCAATTAATATTTGACAAAGGAGGAAAAACATAACCATGGGGTAAAAAAAATCTATTATAATAAATGGTGCTGAGAAAATTGGACAGACATGCAAAAAATTGAAATGAGTACACCTTACACCATATACAAGAATAAACTCAAAATGGATTAAGATTTAAACGTAAGATTCAAAACCATAATAATCCTAGAAAATAATAGTCAGTAAAATCTCAGACATTTCTTGTAGCAATATTTTTTCTGACATATATCCTTGGGCAGGGGAAACAAACAAAAAAAAATAAACAAATGGCACTATATCAAACTAAAAAGTTTTGAATAGCCAAGCAAAACATCAAAAAATTGAAAAGACAACCTATTGAATGGAAGAAGCTATTCATCAATGATACATCTGATAAGAGGTTAATATTAAAATTTATAAGAACTCATACTTTTCAACACCAAAGAATACAAACCAATTAAAAATGGGCAGAGAACCTGAATAGACACTTCTCTAATAGACATATGAAAAGATGCTTAATGTCATAAGCATTGCATTTATGGTTTAAATGCAAATCAAAATCATAATAAGATATTAGCTCACACCTATCAGAATCTACACTAATAAAAACAAAGATGCTAATTGACTGTACCTTCACTACACCCTAAGCCACACCCACCAGCCAATCAGAGTGACTATATGCAAATTAACCCAACCAAGATGGTGGTCGGCAGCCTTGGAGTTGGAGCAAGCATGAGGCTTGGTTGCCCTGGCCAGGCACCCCAGTGGGGACCCCCACACTGATGGGGCTGTGGCCAGCCTGAAAATGGCCCTCAACCCCTCACCCAGGATGGCTAGGCACCCCACTGGGGACCCCCTCACTGAAGGGGCTGTGGCCAGCCTGCAAACAGCCATCAGCCACTCACCCAGGCTGGCCACACTCTCATGGGGTGAGGGTCCCTGCTGGGGGGCTTGGCCAGCCTGAAAACTGCCATCAGCCACTCACCCAAACTGGCCAGGCACTCCAGCAGGACCCCCCGACCCTGAAGGTGCTATGGCCAGCCTGCAAATGGCGCTCAGCCCCTCACCCAGGATGGCCAGGCACCCCAGTGGGGACCCCCACACTGAAGGTGCTATGGCCAGCCTGCAGACAGCCATCAGCCCCTCATCCAGGCTGGCCAGGCACCCCAGGGGGAACCCCTACCCTGAAGGGGCTGTGGGCAGCCTACAACAGCCCTCAGCCCCTCACCCAGGCTGGCCAGGCACCCCAGGGGGGACCCCCACCCTGAAGGGGCTATGGCCAGCCTGCAAACAGCCATTATCCCCTCACCCAGGCTGACCAGGCACTCCTATATAATAAAAGGGTAATATGCAAATTGACCCTAACAGCAGAACGACTGGGAATGACTGGTCACTATGACACACACTGATCACCAGGGGGCAGATGCTCAATGCAGGAGGAGCTCTGCTCAGCCACAAGCCAGGCTGAAGGCTGCCAGTACAGTGGTGGTGGTGGGAGCCTCTCCTGCCTCCTCAGCAGCACTAAGGATGTCTGACTGCAGCTTAGGCCTGCTCCCCACTGGCAAATAGATATCCCCCGAGGGCTCCCGGGTTGCCAGAGGGATGTCTGACTGCCAGCTTAGGCCCAATTCCCCAGGGAGCGGGCTTAAGCCAGCAGGTGGTCATCCCCCGAGGGGTCCCAGACTGTGAGAGGGCACAGGCCGGGCTGAGGGACCCCCGTCCCCCGAGTGCACAAATTTTTGTGCACCAGGCCTCTAGTCATTAATAAATCCACAAGTGGCAAGTGTTGGTGAGGATATGGAGAAAAAGGAATCCTCATGCATTGTTGGTGGAAATGCATACGTTTCAGCCACCTGGGACAACATTATGGATGTTTCTTAAAAAATTTAAAATGGAACTGCCTTATGACCCAACAATTCCACTCCTGGTATTTATCTGAATAAAACCAAACCACTAATTTGAAAGAATATATGCATGTTTGTTGCAGCATTATGTACAATAGCCAAGATATGGAAGCAACCCAAGTGCCCAATAATAGATGATTGGATAAAGAAGTGTTACATATATACAGTAGAGTATTACTCAGCCATTTAAAAAAATGAAAATTTACCATTTGTGACAGCATGGATGGACCTAGAGGGTATTATGTTCATTGATATAAGTCAATCTGAGAAAGACAAATACCATGTGACTTCACTTATGTGTGGAATATAAAGAACAAAATAAATGAACAAACACATTGAAAACAACTCATGAACACAGAGAACCCACTGGTTCTCAGAGGGAAGGAGCTTTAGATACTGTTTAAAAAGGTGGAGGGATTAGAATGTACAAATCGGTAGTTACAAAATAGTCACAAGGATGCTGGTTAAAGCCTGGGGAGTATAGTCAATAGTGTTGCAATAACTATGTGTGGTGCCAGGTGGGTGCTGAAGTTATGGGGGGGAGGGGAGGAAACACTCTAAGGTTTGTGATTGTCTAGCCACTGTACTGTACACCGAAACCAAAACAAAATAATGCTGAAAGGAAAAATTTCTACTATTATATTTTTGGGAACTTTTTTGTTGTTGGAGGATGTGTTCCATTGGCATATAAGTAGGCATGAGACTTCTTTTTTAAACCATAATGAAGCATCATGGACCAGAATTACCCTTCCACCTTTAAATAATGAAAAACTGGACAAAAATAAAGGAACAGCAATGTTCAGACATTGGAGAACAGAAAGCACAAGGCAGTAATCCCTGAAAAAAAAAAAAAGGAAAAAGACTTATGACATTCATGCCAGCTTATTGCCTGGTGTTTCTAGGTCACAGCAAAAGAAGTTTCCTTGAATTCAAAGACAACGTTTAGAGTTTTGGCAACTAGAATTAATGGGACACAGTACTAAAGAGAAGCAAGCCACACAGATTAAGAGACAGCTCTGTAGATGTGCAGAGGGTTTGATGTAGAGAGAGGCTTTCACTATCCATTCCAAAGCTCTAGATACCTTTCTATCCTACCTAGATAGAATCTCTTGATCAGAAGTCTATATAGAACCTGGCAATACTAAGGAATGTATATCTGTCTTTGTTTTATACATGGCAACATTAGGGTTTAAAGCTCATGTTGAAAGAGGACAGGATTCCCATCAACTATTTCTAATTCTTATTTTCCATTTCTAAACTATATTCCATAGTATATATTACATGATTGTTAGAAAATTCTGTCCATTACTAAGACATAAGTAAGGTAATGCCTCCTTCCTGTTGACAAGTTGTCAGAACTTTCACATCCTAGTTCTAGCAGCTGTGACTACAGCTGAGTATCTACCAGTAGCATTAGTGTTTATGAGATGATCTATAATTAATAGTAACAAAATCTAAAAACAATCTCTTAATTTTATTACTGCTCCATCTTAAAGGCCTGCCACTCCTGCAACTTTTTAGTACACTCTAATCACAACTAAAATCCTCCATTCCCAGTAATATCATGGTACTCCTCAAAAATGAGTCTATTTTTCGTAACATGTAGCCTTAACTAGAAATGTCAATACTTGCTTGATAACCAGCTTGATTGTATGACTCTAAAATTCAGGGAATCTATGTTATAACTTAATAATTATTACTTTAAATTGTAGGAAATTATAGAAATCAATGCCCTCAATAGAGGTTAGTAACACTGATGCTTAAATAAGTGGAAACTTACGTGATTCAGATGCAGAAACTTCTATAAAGTCTTCAGTTGAGTGAGTTTTTATGAATTCTGAAATAATGGTGAATTTGTTGTTTCAAATATAATAATTCATTCAAAAGAAAAAAATTCTAAGAAAAACAATAGAGCTACCAACATGTAGATCCTCCCAATTGGGTAACAATGGTAATATCTATAACTGAGTGATGTGAAATCATCATTTTTTTGACAAAACTTGGTTTTCATCTTATATTCTCTTAATGTTACCATCATATAATCCCCCTTCCTTTCATATCCAATCACCAAGTTTTGTCTATTTTACCAGGCACATATTTCTCAAATATGACCCTTCTTTTTCACTTGTGCTCTAACATAGGCACTTATATACAGTAATAACTTATCTTTCCTACTCCCAGACCCCTAATCTAGCTTCTACCATGTGGCCAGAATAATCTTTCAATTAAATGCAACAATGTCACTTCCCTAGAAAAAATCGTCAATGAGTCCTTATTATATTTAATTAATTAATTTTTTAAAAATCCCTAGCGCAACAGTCAATCCCTCTCTCCTACCTTATCCCTAACTATTGCTTTATAGTCTAGTCCCGTGGTTGGCAAACTGTGGCTCACGAGCCACATGCGGCTCTTTGGCCCCTTGAGTGTGGCTCTTCCTAAGCCTTAGGAGTACCCTAATTAATAACAATGTACCTACCTATATAGTTTAAGTTTAAAAAATTTGGCTCTCAAAAGAAATTTCAACCATTGTATTGTTGATATTTGGTTCTGTTGACTAATGAGTTTGCCGACCACTCGTCTAGTCTAATACCATTCCAGTTGTAATTCCCCATTCATACTGTTTGTTCATATTATATCTTCTTAAAGTACGAAATATCTCCCTTCTTCACTTAACTAAGTCCTATTCATGTTTTAAGGTTGCATAAAACCTTCCTAACACTCAAATTGAACAAATTGGCTCCTTTCTGTAGACTCACTGCGAATTATACAAACAATTAGCATGCATTACACTATAAAATGTGATAGCATGTGCTTGTGCCTTTAGTCAGTTGTGGGTTTTATGGGAGCAACAACCAAATTGTATTCATTTTATACACTCCTAGAATTTGCAATATAATAAGAATTTTTATTAAAAATATAAAACTCACTGTTTTTTTTCAAATTCGCCATTAAGTATCTTTTTAATTAAATATATCAAGGTACCCTAGCCAGTTTGGCTCAGTGGATAGAGCACTGTCAGCCCGCAGACTGAAGGGTTCGATTCTGGTCAAGGGCACGTACTTTGGTTGCAGGTTCCCCGGCCCTGGTTGAGGTGCATGCAGAAAGCAACCAATTCATGTGTCTCTCTCACATTGATGTTTCTCTCTGTTTCTCCCTCTCCCTTCCATGCACTCTAAAAAATCAATGCAAAAATATCCTCCAGTGAGGATTAACAAAAAATAAAAAAATGTATTGAGGTGACATTGGTTAATAAAATTTTATAGGTTTCAAGTGTAGAGTTCTATGATACATCATTTATGTATTGCACTACCTGTTTACTACCCAAAGTCAAATATATTTTCATCACCATATATTTGACTCCCTTTACCCTTTACTACCTCTCCTCCTTTCCCTCTAGTAACATCTTTTGAAATTTACTATTGTATAATTTTATGGCTATGAGCTTTTAAACTATAAGTCTCAAAATGTTAATGTATTTAGGAAACATCATAAAGGCAAACATATATAAAAGATCACCTTCAATTTTCTGCTGTACATTTACATAACTTTGCACTGCTTCTGGTGGACTTTCACTATCCCTGTTAAAATGTCAATAAATAAAACATTTATTATCAAAGAATAAGATTCTTAAATAAGAACTAGGATATCTACTGTTTTTAAAATAAAATTTAAGATGTTCTTTAGCCTTTATTCACAGACAGTAAAGTAAATTATTAGCAAGTAAATAGGTCAAACTCTGTAATTCTATAAATTCTATAGATATACCAACAATATTCACAACAAAAATAGCAAAATTAAATTGGGTAGAAGCATGAAATTTCTTTTTGTCAATTATTATTAATGTGTATGCACTAAAATACAAGTTTAGAGTTAAAATACTTTGCTTAAAATGTGTTTTACTTACTTATTATGTGACTTTGGGTACTTAAGTTACTTAACCTCTCTGAGCTTCAGTTTCTTCATCTATTGAAACTAAGGTATTAGAGTACCTATTGCATAAAGCATTTGTAAGGACCAAAGGTAAATGTAAAGTTACAAGGAAAATACCTAGCAAATATCAGACAATTAAATTTCAGGGATTAATATTAACATATGATTAGAAACTAATTTCATGCCTCACAAAGATGCTCAAGGGAATATAGCTGAGCCTCTTAAACAATGCTCTATTATGCAACCCCATTGGAACCAACTCATGTACCACTCCCTTCATTCATTTAAGGCTAGTCAGTGATAGATGGAGCTACCAATAAAGTAATTGCATAATAAACAGTAGCCCTTCCCAATTACAGGTACTTTCTATTTTAACACTATAAAATTAAAAGGTTTGGTTTATGTTTAATGCAAAACAAGTTGTTTATAAATGATAATTTTTACTTAGATAAGTTACTATACCAGATGTGATTAAAAATAACAGAATAATAGAGGAGCAAATGAACAGATATTCCATGGAATTAAATAATTAACATTGTTGAAATGTCCATACTATCCCAAGTGATCTACAGATTCAATGTAATCCCTATCAAAATTCCAATGGCACTTTTCACAAAAATAGAATGCAGACTGGTATATCCACTGTGGAAAATATGGAGTTTCTTCAAACAATTAAAAATTGAACTGCCTCTTGACCCAGTGATTCCAACTCTCGAAATATATCCTAAGAATCCTGAAACACCAATTCAAAAATATATAACCACCCTTATATTCATTGCAGGGTTATTTATGATAGCCAAGATCTGGAAACAGATCAGTAGATGAGTGGATAAAAAAGCTATGGGACATTTACACAATGGATTACTATGTAGCTGTGAAAAAGAAGAATATCTTACTTTTTGCAATGGCATAAATGAACCTGGAGATTATTATGCTAAGTGAAATAAGCCAATCAGATAAAGACAAATGTCACATGATTTCACTTACAAGTGGAGTCTAATTAACAAAATAAACTGACAAAATAGAAACTGAGGCATGGATATATGAAAAAGACTGACAGCTGACAGAGGGGAGGGTAAGGGGGGACTGGATGAAAGAAGGTGAAGGGAATAGCCAAAAAACACATATGTATAACCCATAGACACAGTGTGGTGATGGCCAGAGGGAGGGGGGCAGGCGATGGGTAGAGGTGGGCAAAGGGGAGAAAAATAAGGACATCTGGAATAGTGTCAACAATAAAAATTAAGTTTTTTTTAAAAAAAAGAGAAAGAATCCTAAAAATTCATATGGAACCAGAAAACAGCCTGAATAGCCAATTCTTCAGAAAAATAAAAAAAATGGTTTAAAAAAGAAGAAGAACAACAACAACAACAAAGCTGGAGGAATCTTACTTCCTGATTTCAAACTATAGCAATTAATGCATTGTGGTACTGGCATAAAAAATACATACAGACCAATGGAACAAAACAGAGAGCCCTCATGCACGCAGTCAATTCTTCTTTGACAAGGATGCCAAGAATACACAATGGGGAAAGGATAGCCTATTCAATAAGTGTTGCTGGGAGAACAGAATATGTACAGGTAAAAGATTTAAATAGAACCATCATCTTATACCATAACACAAAATGAACTCAAAATGTATTAAAGGTTTAAGTGTAAGACCTGAACCCATAAAACTCCTAGAAAAAAACATGGGGGACAAACTACTTGAAATTGGTATTGGCAATGATACTTTGGGTATTACACCAAAATCACAGCCAACAAGAGCAAAAACAAACAAATGCGATTGCATCAAATATGAAAGCTTCTGTACCCTGAAGGAAATATCAACAAAATGAAAAGGAAAGCTACAGAAAAGGAGAAAATATCTGTAAACTATATACCTAATAAGAGATTAATGTCCAAAATATATGAGCAGCTAATACAAATCAATAACAAATACTAAATAACCCAATTTTTAAAATCACAAAGAAATAGACAAATGAATAGACATTTTCCACAGAAGACATACAAATGGCCAACAGATTCGTGAAAAGGTACTCAACATCACTAATCATCAGGGAAACACAAATCAAAACCACAATGAAATAGTACCTCATACCTGTTAGGGTGGCTATTATCAAAAAGACAATAGAGAAGTGTTGGTAAGAATGTAGAGACAGGGAACACTTCTACACTGCTATTGATAATGTAAATTGATACAACCTTTTTGCATAACAGTAGGTTTCAAAAACATTTTTTAAAAAGAACTAGCACCGAGAGGATATTCAGCTGAGACACAGTTTTCAGCTGGGAAAGGCAGAGGACTCCCGGAGAAAGGGGACGGTTGGAGACTGCAGCTGGAATCTCTCCCAGAGTGTCGGCTCAGCCGCGGGAACCACGCCATCTTGAGTGGCTGTTATTGGAAGCGTATACATCCAAAGACCTGGCATCCAGAGATCGGCTGCTAACCCGGAAACACCGGATCTGGGACAGTGCGACTAGGGGAGCCCTGCTTCTCCTCACAGAAAGGTCAGATTTCGCCTGAAGGTGCGGTTTGCAATTCAGGTTGGGGAGAGGAACATGCGCGGGGAGGTCTGCGTCCCACAAAGTCCGCGGCCTTTGGGGCCAGCTTGATCCACGAGTGTGGAAGGGCTCCCACAGGGCTGCTGGCAGAAGGGAACGCTAAAAATAAGCCCATAGCTGGACTGGATGCAAAAAGGCAACCTCAGATTTTGCCAGTGTGCCTGTTGCTTGGTGCCAGGAGAGAGAGGGCACACGGAGAAGACTGCGCACAGAGCTGGAAGGTGGAGGGTTGCAAATTCGCGCAACTTCTCAGGCTCTTGTTTTTTTCTCTTCCCCTTAAATCTTTGCGTTTGATTATTAAACCCAGTGCATGGGATTGCCCAGTTGGGGACACTCGCAGAGACTGCAGGGGAAAGTTGTTTTTGTGGAACCTGGGAAACAGAGCGGGGAGTAATGATTAAAGAACCAGCTCTGGGCAGTGGACTTTCCCAAACCAGTTTTAAGTACAATAGAGAAAATAAACTCTAACTACTGGATAGAGAGGACTTATAGCCTCGGAGGTCAATCCAGACACACTGCCACCCAGAGGCAGAGCCACGAACTGACTCTTCTGTAAACACAAATAAAGGCAGTCTGGGAAACAAATACGGCCTGCTTTAAAATCAGGACTGTGGTTTACAACACGGAGGAACAGTGTATCGGAGGGAAATTCAACATTCTCCTGAATACCTGGCAGGACTAAGGCGTGCCAGACAGAAGAGTAGAAGAACTGAAGGATCTTCACTACTGCACATTATTTATTTATTTTTTATTATTCTTTTTCCACCTTTTAATTAAGAAACCAATTTTTTTTCTTTTTTCATCACCTAATTTTACCCTTTTAATTACTACATTTTTATTTTTAACCAGTATTATTACTACTACCATTTTACCATTTTTTAAAGTGTCATTTTATTTTCTCTTTATTTTA